CCTCTGCCAGTGTTTAACTGGAGTTGAAGGCTGGGAGCTGTGAGCCACTGGGAATGTTTGATGCCATCCCATAAAACAGAAAGATTGGAAAGAGTTGGGCATGTCCAGTGGCAAAAGCTGGATTGGAAGGGAGGGATAGAAGTGTTGGGAATGTTGTGTGTTCAGAGCAGCTGTGGCAGTGCCAGCTGGACCTTGGCCAGGCAGAAAGGGACCTGGGGGCACTGAGGGACAGCAGCTGGACATGAGCCAGCAGTGTGCCCTGAGCCAATGGCTCTGGCCTGGGTCAGGAATGGGGTGGCAGCAGGAGCAGGGATTGATTTGGGCTCCTCGTTTGCAAAGAACATTCCCATCAATGCTAGCAATGGGGTTGATCTGCCTTCAGGGCATGCCTGGCACCAGGCTCAGTCGGGACTGCAGGCACAGCCTGGCAGGGCAGCGGGAAGCTGCTGCAGGGGAGCCTCGGCTGCCTTCCCTGGCAGCGCTGCCTGACAAATCCCAGTGGGAACCTCAGCCTTGGAAAACCCTCTCCTTGTAAACACGGCCCTGACAAGTTCCCTGGCTGTGCTTCCCTGGGCTCCGCGGGGAGATCAGAGCCAGCAGGGAGGGAGGGATGAGCGTTCCCATGTCTGACATCCGTTCCTGACAGCACCAACAAACAGCAATTTGCCCGGCTGCCCGTGCACAGGGAGCAGCTGCCAAAGCTCCTCCTCTCCAGGGGTTCCCTCCCCTGCATTTTGTTCATTTTTGGATGAGCTTTGCCTTATGGTCAGGTGAAGGTGACCCAAATCCCCTTTGGAATTGATGGCTCTGGGATTTTTGCATTCTCCCGGTATTTTTGTAGGATTGGGATGTGGATAACACATGAAGAGGATGCCCCAAAGGCTGGGCTCACATCCCCTGTGCTGGGATATGCCTTGGATTCCTTCTCTCTGCCCTTTGTTGGGAAAGGACATTAAATCCTTTCTGTCCCTTCTAGGAGTTTCCTCCTTGCCAAGGGTCAGCCCCCCTGGAAGGGGATTCCTTTGGGATCCCTCAGACCCCTGTGGGCACCTGCTGGGATTTTCTTCCCATCTTTCCATTTTAAAGAATGTCCCACTGCCTCCTTCCTGGGAGGACAAAGGGACCATTGGGATGGACTGGGATGGAGACTGGGATGGACTGGAGATTGGGATAGAGCCCAGGATGGAGACTGGGATGGAGCCTGGCATGGAGCCATCCCTCTATCCAGGTGCCATCAGGACAGGGCTCTCCCTTGGTGCAGTGGGAGAGCTCAGAGCCCCGGGAATGGATCCCTCTGGCAAAACCCAGTGAATAAAGTCTTTTCTCCTCCTAAACAGGATCTTTTCCCCATCCTCTCATGGATATTCTTGCACAAACTCATCCCAGTTTTTAAACTCCACGTTCTCCTTCTCCTGGACCCATCTTGAAAATTGCTTTGTTTTCTTTTTTCCCCACTCTGCATGAATACCTCAGATGTGGCTTGCTGGGAAATGTTTCTCTGAGCCTTTGTGTCCCACAGTTGTGAGAAATGACTGCACAGGATTCCAATTCCCTCTTTTTCCTTGGTTTTACCTCCATCTGGCACCTCCTTCCTGCCTTACCAGCGTGCCCTCGCCTGCATCTCCGTCTGTATTTGGAAAAGTCATTCCCAGGCTTCCAATGAGTTCCTTTTCCCACCATTTTTCTCTGGATTGAAGGGCAGATTTCTCAGCAGGAATGGTGTTTCTGTGCATCCTGGTAGAAGTTGGAATGTCTCATTTTCCATTACTCTGGGCAGGCATCTGGAATGCCGGTCCTGGCTCTGATGGATTCACAGGCAGCAGGATTTGTTTATCCAGGGCTTTCTTGGAGCTTTGGTGGTGGTGGTGTCTGCTTTGTTCTGGAATCCGTTTGGGATACCCCTGCTCTGAGTTTTAACTTCCCAAAATGAACATTTTCCTTGGGCTTCCCTTGGCTAAGGAGGGGCTTAGGAAGTCACTCCAAGGCAGTTCATGGATTGGACTCCATCCTCTCAAAGGCTTTTCCTAACCTAAACAATTCCATCAAATCCCATTCCACAGATTTAGAATTATTTCCCTTTATGCCCAAGCAGGGATTTTCCAAGGAGCTGTCAAAAGCCCCATGCTCCATCAGAGGGAACAAATTGGAATTTTTATGGACTACTCTCAGGGAACATGTCTGGAATTTTGTTTCTGGCCCTTTTTATTGGAAGTTAAAGCATTTCCAAGAGCCAGGAGGGTTTTTTCACCCTCAGCCACACCAATTGAGCTTAAGTCATCCTGTTCTGCTCGTGTTCACTGCCTCCAGTGAATCCCAGCCCTTCCCAACAGCTCCAGGTTTATCCTGATGATCTGATTATGAGTCCTTTCCTGTTGTCAGGGAGCCTGAAAACAAGAGAAGACTCTGGAAAAAAACAATGTTGTGTTTTCCCAGATAATCACTCTCAGCAAAGGGGAGAGGGGGAGGAACATCCTCGGGAGGGGCTGAGGAACAGGAGAGGGGCAGGACACAGGGAATGGCTTCCAAGAGGGCAGGGATAGATGGGATACTGGGGAGGGATCCTGGAGGAATTCCTCCCTGGAGGTTGGGGAGGGGCTGGAATGGAATTCCCAGAGCAGCAGGATCCTGGGAAGTGCCCAAGGCCAGGCTGGAGCAGCCTGGGACAGTGGGAGGTGTCCCTGCCCATGGCACTGGGTGATCCTTAAGGTCCAAATCCAAACCATTCCATGACTCCATTGATCCTGGAACACCACAGTCCCGTTTATTGGGAGTTGGAATGAATGCACATGGATTTCTGAACTTGGAAATATCTTTAAATACCATTAGGAATAATTTCTTGTATCTTCTTTGGGAACACTGGGAATCACTGTGGCTGGGAGGTTCCATGGTTGTCCTTTCCCAGTCCCCATGAGGTCTCTTTCCCTGGGATTGTGATTCCAGCCCTGCTGCCCCTGTCAGGTTCCATCTTTTCCTTGGATAAACACATCCTAACAGGAGCTTTTACAAGGAATTTTTACAGTCATATAAAACTACCCCATCAAGTTGCCTGGATTTATTTGCCTGCAGACTCCAAAATCAATCCCTGGGCTGTTGTTCCCATTCCAGCCTTGTTGTTTCCCTCTGATTTTCTCCACTGCAGCTTTTTCTCTTTGCTGGATTTTAAACTCCTCTCATTAGGAATTTTTTAGCTTCTGCCTTCAGAGCCTATCTGGGAAAACCCATCCATGGGGCTGCTTCCAGAGGCTGAGCTTCTCTTTCCAGCCTGAGCTGTTTAATCAGTCAGGAAAGTATTAAAATGAGATTTTTTTTATTTGGATATCAAATCCTTTTTAAAGGATGTATTGTTTTTCCCCTCACAAACACTTCCTATTTGAATTCAAATATTTTTTTCCTTTCTCTTCCATCCCACCTGCTTCCCTGGCACTTGGATTAGTCAGGATATGTCAATATTTGAGGGAATAAGTCGCTGCTGGCTCCAGATTCTGTTTGGGTTTCTGACTCATCTTGGGGTCAAATGAGCTCAGCAAACGTGGGAGAGATTCCGGAGGGACGGAAGCAGCTCCGCTCTGGCTCCCGTGCTCCATTTGCTGGGGTTTACTGGTTCTTACTGGTTCCCAAACTGGGCTTTCTGGAGCCTTTATCCCAGGAAGCAGTTCTGGATGCCCCCGGGCTGTCAGTGCAGGGCAGAGGGGGATTGGTTGGAGTTAAATCTGGAATTTCTGGGTGTTTTCCCATTCCAGGGGGATCCTGAGCTGAGCCCGGGCCCTGAGTGTCACCAGCAGCAAAGGTGTGACATCTCTGCTGCCACCAGGAGCCTTGGGTTCCCACTGGGAATTCCATGTTACCCACTGGGAAATCTGTGTTTTATCCCACTGGGAAATCTGTGATATCCCACTAGGAAATCTGCATTATCCCACTGGGAAATCTGTGTTTTATCCCACTGGGAAATCTGTGTTTTCCCACTGGGAAACCCATGTTTACTCTTCTTAGAAACACATGTCCACCCCATTTGGAAACCTGTGTTCTTCATATGTCCATCCCACTTGGAAAGCAGTGTCCCTCCCTCTTGGAAATCTATGTGCACTCCACATGGAAATGTGTTCATTCCTCCTGGAATCAGTCCTGTGTCCACCCCACATGGAAACCCATGTTTGCTCCCCTCAGAAACGCTGTGTGCCCCCCTGGAAAAGGACATGCTCCCTCCCTCGAAAACCCATGTGTCCTGCACCTGGAACCCTGTGTCCATCTCTCTGGAAAACCCCTGTTCTGCCACTGGAAAACCTGTGTTCTCCCACTGGGAAACCTGTGTTCTCCCTCTGGAAAACCCGTGTTCCACACATCCCTTCTGGAGCCCCATGTCCACCCTGCACAGATGTCCCCCCTGCTTTACAGTGCTGGTGGTGCCTGGAAGTTCTACTGGGCTTTGCCAGGAATTTCTATCAGGAATCCTCCCCAAATAAGACTGAAGAAGAGCAAAATGATGGAGGAAATCTTTCCTCATTTCCCCAAGTGTTTTTAGCTCTTCCTATTTTCCAAGAAGTGGCAGAGGGAGGAATGAAGGAGATTTTTAATGCCAGGAGAGCTTTTCCAAGGCCTAAATGGGCTGAGACTCCATCCAAAACCAGGGAATTGTGTGAATTTTTAGCAGGAGCTTAAGGCCAGTGTGTGTCTGTCAGAGCTTGGACTGACTGGAACGACTCCAGGAGCTTTTGAGCTTTCCCTCCAAACAGCTTTTCCTTCCTCCCTTCCCTCTTTTAATTTCCATAAGGAAAGCACAATGATTAAACAAATTATTAAACCTGGATGGATTTCTGTGGATATTTAGGAGGCTATTTCTGAGGATATTTCTGTGGATATTGATGTGCATATTTATGAGGATATTTATGTGGATATTTCCCCCTGACCTGCATCTTGTGGCTGTTTACCATCCTTCTGCCAGTTGGGAATGGGGGTTAATTTTGTGGGAAATATTCCCTAATTCCTCTCTTTTTTCCCCACAGGTGTTTACAAAATATGGGAAATGCTACATGTTTAACTCAGGAGAGGAGGGGCGGCCTCTCCTCACCACGGTGAAGGGGGGGACTGGGAACGGCCTGGAAATCATGCTGGACATCCAGCAGGACGAGTATCTGCCCATCTGGGGAGAAACCGGTAAGAGCTGCCTCTTCCTCGGGTGATTTCCTTGGAAAAACCATCCCACCCCATCCCATCCATCCCATCCCATCCCACCCCATCCCATCCCATCCCATCCCATCCTGTCCCATCCTTCCCAGACCATGCCTAAACCAGCTCTGGGAGCAAGATCCTGCTCAGTCCAGGATGTGTCACTTTTCTCCCCAGGGTTTGGGATGCCAGGCAGGAATGGCACTGTCTGTCCTGGGCAAGGGTGGCATTTGTGGGTGACAGCAGTGTGGGCACACCTTCAGAGGCTCCAGCACATCCCTCTCCCCTGGAAAGGCATTTTTGGGAGGCTGTGTTCAAGGTGGACTCCAGCTGCTCTCTGGGTTTTCCTTCTCCTTCTAATTTGGAAATATTTGCTGCCCTGAGTTGTGTTTGGTGGGTTGGTGCTGTGTGGGTGTAGCAAGGACTGGGTTCCTTGGCTTTGGAGCATTTGGGGTGGGTGGAATCTGTGTAGGAATGAACCTGGCTGGGCTGAGCATCTCCAGAGGAGCTGGAACTCTCTGGTCCTGGAGCAGGAGGTGCTGACCAGGAGAGCTGGGCTGTGAGGTGTCCCCAAGTCCCATGGATGGGGATGCAGCTCCTGGAGTGGATGTGGGGTTGTGGAGAGCACTGTAATGAAGTGATCCTTGAATGAACCTGCTGCAGAAATGATGGGCAAGAGCATGGAGGAGAGGATGGGGACAGTGCCACCAGAGCCACCCAGGCACAGCTGTCCTTAGCAGTGCCCAGCAGTGGTGGCTGCAGCTTTCTGGAACCCACGGTGACCTCTCAAACAAAGCATCCCAAAAAGCTGCTGGAAAACTTGCCAGGAGCTGTTTGTGTGGCAGGGCCCCGTGGGGACATTCATCCAGGATGAATATCCTGTCCCTGGGTTGATTTTGGATTCTCCTGCACCTGAGTTGTGTTGGGTTCTGTTGTCCCTGGGTTGATTTTGGATTGTCCTATCCCTGGACCTGGGTTGATTTTGGATTGTCCTATCCCTGGACCTGGGTTGATTTTGGATTCTCCTGTCTCTGGACCTTGGCTGACATTCTGGGCTTGGATTGCACTGGGAGTTATTGAGGTCTCTTTAAACCTGGACTTGTACAGGATTCAAGGAAAAACTCAATGAACAGGGCTTTGATTTGCTGAAGGGATGAAGGAGAAGCTCCTGGGCTCATTCCCAGGAGCCTTGGCCATGTTCTCACAGGCCCAGGTAGACCTGCTTGCCCTCAGAGCTGGTGGAACTTTGATCCTTTCATCAGGAGGCTGCTCCTGTCCCTCAGCAGCTGGGGCAGCCTATCCTGGATGCTCTGGGGCTCCCTGGACACCGGCAGAATCCCAAACGGGAGCTCTGGTGGTTGAGAGTGGCTGTTGCCACAGCAACGCCTCAGCTCTGCCGAGGTGAGGGAGGGAGTCGATTATTTCCAAATATTTGCATAATAATTTCAGTGTGCTTGGAATTCAATCCCATCGCTGCTGCCTCCGGGCTGGGCTCTCCAAGGGAAGGAGCTCCAGAATTCCAGCCCTGGGGGGGGACCCAGGGTGGGAAATGGATTTGTAGAGAGCTCTCAGGGCCTGACAGAAGGCCCACAGAGTGTGCATCCGTGTGCAAACTTTGAAATAAGAAATACTAACTTAAAAATACCATAAAATAAGGCAAATATTACTAAGAAAAAAAAAAAAAACCTAAAAAAAAGTTTTTAAAAAATAGCCTTACAAATAAGACTTAATACTTTAAAGAAATAGAACTGTGAAAGATACATTCTAATAAGACTCATGAAAATTTTAGATTATTAACTTTAAAACGTCTACAACATAATATAACAAAAAATGAATAAACAAAAAAATAAATATAGTATATTATATTATACTATAGTATAGTACCTATATTATATATACTATATATATTATATATGCTATAATATATTGTTATATTATATTATACATATAGTAAATTATAATTAAGAAACAATCAACTTCTAATTATAATAGTGTAAATTATAACATCTACATGATCTCACCCTTCTCATGAGACTAAAAATAGAATACAAATTTTTAAAACCCCTTTCAGTTACGCCATCTCTAACTCAAAATAAAAGTATTACCCAACAACTGTGGTGTTCAGGGACGAAGGGATGTGGGCAGAAGGAGATCCACGGGATGGAAGGAGCTGGGTTTTCCCCTCCCACTGAGCTCCTGTCTCTGTTGTCACTGGGAGGGTGGCACAGGGAATTGTGGATCCCCAGCAGTGGCCAAGGCCAGGCTGTATTATTGTCACATTTTTTAACGAAGGGATGGGACTGCTTTTGTGCTAGGAACAATTTATTGCTCAGATAAACATCAGTCTCAGAGGCTGTGTCTCAGTTTGGAAAGCCAGGTGTCTGTAAGGAAGGCAGGAGCCTCCCCTGAAATGGAAAATGCAAACCCTCTCCCAAATTGCTATAAATTTGAAATTAAGGGGCTCTCAGGCAAAAATATGGGAGCAGGAATAACAGTTCTTTATTAGGAAAGAAATAAAAAGATAAAATAAACAATGCAGTAAACCAAGACAACACTGACAGAGTCAGAACACAGCCTGACACCCTGTGGGTCAGGGTGTTGGCAGCAATCCCATAGGAATTGTGGCTGCAGCCCTCCTGCAGTGTCAGGGGTGGTTCTGCTGGAGCAGGGATCCTGGAGAAAGGTGGAGTCTTCTTCTGAAGGTCCAGGGGAAGAGGCAGCTGCTGTTCCTCTGGGAATGCAGTGGAAAGGCTGTTCTGCTGTCCCAGGGTCTCAGATTGTATCCAGGTAGGAATGCTTGGCTCCTCCCCTGGGCGGAGCATCTCCCCATGGGATGATGGAATTTGGTCAGCCATGCAGGGACACTCAGTGGCCATGGACAGCAGAGATCTCCTGGAGGGAGGGTTGGCTGTGGGAGAGATAAAGAAAACTGCCCAAAGAACTGCAGAGAGCTGCCCCACTCTGACAGGTGGGGACGGAGCACACATTGCCTTGCAGTCTGGGACAGTGAGGTTGAGAGGAGCAGGCACTCAGCTCAGAGCAGTCACAAGTTCTTTGTTACAGGGCAATGCAGAGCTGTCTGTTCCAATGGACAGATACCACAAGGTTTATTTTGCTTTTCTGACCTGTCACCTTTAGTTACTTCTGCTGCACTGTGGATACTTTTACCCAGTGGTTTCTGTCTCACTTACACACAGATGCTTCTGTTACATCCCCTAAACTCTCAGCTACTCCACACAACCACAGCCCTACACTATAAACCCTTCACCATCTTGCCAATGCAGTTTCTCACTTAATTGAGGCATACCCTTTCTTACAATTACAGAAACAGAAGTTTATTGTGTTTCTACTTAATATCTGTGTATTGTATTTTTTACATCAATCCAAACTTCTCCCAAGGCTGCAGTTCAAACCCTCCTGTGTCTGTGGAAGTTTCTGTTTTTCCAATTCCCACAAGGCTGGAGCAGCCTGGGGCAGTGGAGGATGTCCCTGTCCAGGCTGGGGGGCACTGGAGGATGCTCAAGGTCCCTTCCAACCCCTAAAAATCTGGGATTCTCCAGCAGGAGGCAGGAGTAAGAGCAGTTTCGTTGTGTTTGCAGAGGTCCCCATGGGAGGCAGGAATGATGACTCTGACTCCATGTTCTCAGAAGGCTAATTTATTACTTTATGATACTATATTATATTAAAGAATGCTGTACTATACCAAAGAACACAGAAAAGATACTTACTGAATGCTAAAAAGATAATAATAAAACTCATGACTCTTTCCAGAGTCCCGACACAGCTTGGCACTGGTTGGCCAAAGAGTGAAAACAGCTCACACCAAAACCAATGAAACAATCACCTGTGGGTAAACAATCTCCAAACACATTCCACATGAGCACAACACAGGAGAAGCAAATGAGATAAGAACTGTTTTCCTTTTCTCAGAGGCTTCTCAGCTTCCCAGGAGAAAAATCCTGGGTGAAGAGATTTTTTCAGAGAGTGTTTCTCAGCTGTGTCGAGGGGCCTGGCTTCTGGGAAAGCAGGAGATGAAATACCTGCAGCAAACAATCATTGGGATTCCCAATTTTTTTTTTTTTTCCAAATTCCGGCTATTCAAGTGCCCAAACTGGATCCAGAGGATGCTCCGAGATGTGCTGAGTGCACCAGGATGGGCTGAAGATTCCTTAGAGCAGCTCCTGGCCAGGCCTCAGCTTCCAGCTCATCCTGGAGACCAGAGGGATTGATGGACAAAGCATGGGAATGTTTTTCTGTCATTTCCCTCACTGCCTGCTGAGGAAATCCCCTATGGAAATTCCAGGCTCCTGCTCCATCCCAGCTGCCAAACCTGCTCCTGATGGCTGAAATATCCCTTCTTTTTGGCTCAGAAATCCATAAGGGTCTAGAAATGAAATTCCCCCTGTTAATTAAATCCAAACAATCTTTGGATTTTAAGGAAAATATCCCTCCCAGGAATTCAACTCATCCCACACCTCCAATCCCAGCCTGGAGCAGCTCCTGTAAATCCCTGGGCACATGGGAGCAGCAGCTCCTGCTCCATCACAGCAGAGCCAAAATTGCTTTTCAAGCCCTGCCCTGGCTCTCCCCAGCTCCAGGAGAATTCCAGAGGCCCTGGGGAGCAATTCCCAAAACCAGGAGTTCCTGGGGTGTGTGACAACTCAAGGACCCAAACCCTGAGTAAGGTTTGAGCTGCTGCTCCTCCCAGGGCTTTGGTGCTGCTCAATCAAATATTAATTGATTCGTAGTGGCAGAATAATTTGGGGGCTGCTCTGGTCACCAGGGGCTGCTGAGAGGTGGCAAATGTGGGCCAGGGAATGCTGGCTGGTTCAGGGAATTCTGGCTAATTAATTCAGAGAGTTCTGGGTAATTAATTCATAGAGTTCTGGGTAATTCAGGAATCCTGGCTAATTCAGGAATTCTGACTAACTCAGGGAATGCTGGCTGGTTAAGGGAATTCTGGTTGATTTAGGAATTCTGGCTAATTC